AGAGAGTCCTATCCAGTTTTGTGATTAGATATGTAAAATTGTTCACACTTACTTAGAATCTCATTATTATTAGGAAAAACTACCATTTAGTGTGAAGTGGGATAAATATTTAGAATAATACTATATGCACTAATTAGTGTACACACTAGTGTACCAATTAGTGATGTGACATAATTTTAGAGATTTTGGATATTTGTAATTTGTATAATAAATAGGGTCATTAATAATATCATAACACTAGTTGGTACATTAGTGTATATACTAATTGATACATGTAGCACCACCGAAATATTTATTACAAGGTGAAAATCTTTTTGAAGTGTACCTTCTGTTTTGTTTTCTTACATATAAAAAATAGTTGCACTCTTATGTATTTGTAATTATTTTTAGTCAAATAAATTGATATGTAGTTTCCCCATTATTAATATTAGGTTACGTTTGAATAATAGGAATTAAGAAGAAAAAATAATTTTTTATTATTATTATGAATCTCATTACTAGAAATATGCTAGATTATATTTGGATTGCTGGAATTATTATGTCAGTTAGAGTTCTCTTTAGAAAAAATGATATATTTTTTAAATATTGTAGCTCTATCCTTTTTGTTTTAATTTTTTTTTATATTGTTAAATAATTTGCATTCCTTTAATAATGTAAGGTTATCATGAAAAAGCATAAAAATAAAATTTTCACTTAGTTTGAAAAAACAATTTCAACTTGAATAAGTAATAAAAGATTACTTTCTCATTTCAATTAATTTAGCAGATGATTGTCGAAAATCACACTCCTTTAAGAACGTAAGATTATCATAGAAAAGTGTAAAAATCAAATTTTTACTGAAAAAGAAATTTAAGCTTGAATAAGTAATGAAGGATTTAAATATAAAAAAGTAAAAATAAAAAGTAATGAAAAAGTACTTTTTCATTTCAATCGATTCAGCAAATGAATATCCAAAATTACATTCCTTTAAAATGTAAGATATCATAGAAAATTGTAAAAATTAAATTTTTATTTAATTTGAAAAGGTGATTTCATCTTGAATGTAATCAAGAGTTACTTTTTCATCCCAACCAATTCTCCAAATGAATGTCCAAAATCACATTCCTTGAAGAATGTAAGATTATCATAGAAAAGTGTAAAAATCAAATTTTTACTGCGTTTGGCAAACTTAGTTTTTTTATTTTTTTTAACTTTTTTTGAGTTTTTTAGCCTGAGACTTTTTTATTCATTTGGTTTTCTTATTTGGCTTTTTTGACTTTTTTACATTAGAATGACAAAATTGCCCTCTACTTGAAAATAATATTTTTTTGACTTTTTATTTGTATACGGGTCAATTTGGTAATTTTACATTAAAAGTCAAGTTTTTTGTCATTTTATAATTTTGTGACTTTTTTTTTATCCTTATGTGCTTTTTTAGTCCCAATATATTTACCAAACTAAGACTTAGATTGAAAAGGCAATTTAAGCTTGAATAAGTAATTAAGAATTACTTTATCATTCCAATCAATTCTCCGAATGAATTTCCAAAATCATATTACTATAAGAATGTAAGGCAATGATAGAAAAGTGTAAAAATAAGATTTTTTTACTTTTAGTTGAAAAAGCAATTTTTACTTAAGTAATCAAGAATTACTTTCTCATTTCAATTAATTTTTTAATATTATGTTTGGTTTAAGGATTAAGGTAAGAATTTGAAAAGAAAAAACAAAAAAAATATGTGAAATGTAATTATGGGTTCATTTGAAAAGTAGGTTAGTTTTTTGATTTTTTGATTATTTTAGTCTGGTGCTAAAAAATCTCGTTTAAGAATGACTTTTTGACTTTTTTGACTTTTTGTGAGAGAAAGAATGCAATGATTATGGATTAGATGTGATGTTTTGTCTTAAAAGTCTATTTAATTTTATTTTTTAGCTATTTTAACAAAAAAAAACCCAATTCTCAACTTCTCAAACAGAAGTTATATTTTATTTGACAAATGCCTTAGACCCCCACCACTCCCACTAATTTTTGGTTGGTTGAAAAAAAATTTTTTTTTTTTTGGGTCCTCCTCTCACAGCCCCCCATGTGGGGTGGGGGTGCTGGAGGTCACCCCCCACTGGGGGTATACAGCACTGCCAATTTTATTTACATTTTATTGACCTTTTTATTTATTTTTTTTCAAATCTTTTGTCAAATTCATCAGTTAAATATAGCCCAAATAAATGTTCAAAATCACATTCACAACATTGTCTTCCAAATCAAGCCTTACATAATAATTCTAAGCAATGAGATTCCATTCCATATCTTCATAGGCAATGAGATTTCATATCATATCTTCCATTTCTGATATCCAAACCAGGATTAAGGTTGTACTTCAAAATCCAATCATGGTTGATAATTTTAATTTTATGCACTAACTAGCACAATTCTCATGGAAGAGGCAGAAGTTTATTGGCTCTATGTATTTTAGTCATGATTAGATAACCTTTTTTGCATTGCATTTCTCTTTGGTCTGAACTACTAACTATAAAAGTGAGGATGCTTTGTCATTACCTAATTGTTTTCACACAAATCCAATGGAGAATTACCTAACAATCCATAGGCTGCATATTTCTCTCTCTAAAAATCAACCTATGTACCGTACGTGTTGAAAAGGAAAAGAAACATCTTGATTAATTATTAGATTTATTTGGGGTAATTTTTTTAGAGTTAAAAATTAAAATATAGAAGTTAAAGACACTATAGTCATTTTTTTTTTTGAATTTATTTAAGTTTTTATATTTCATAGGTTATAAATAAAAATTGTATAAAATGATTTTATCATAAATTCTCAAAATATATATAAAAAGAAGGGAGTGGTTCCTCTCCAATTGAATCTAACTGAGAAGTGTTGTGTTAGTAGACTCATTTTAGATTTCATTTTGAATGATCCGAATTGTTGATTTTTTAAAACACGTTGAAAAGAGTACTTTTAGGAATATTAATAATTGAATTATATTTATCTTATAATTGAGAGAAGCCATCTTTTAAAAAAAAAAATATAAAACACGCATAAATTACAGCAAAGAAGGACATAGACCCTAAAAGAGCCCCCAAGTCTATAACCCTCTGAATCTAGCAAAAAAATTTATAGCTTGTGCACATTGGCTAGAACCAACAGACTAATCATTCACACAACTCATGAAATGCATATAGTAATAAAGGGAATGATACAAAACACAATGGTGGCTAATGGGGGTGGCTCATGGATAGTTGTGCAGCATTGGTGGTGGTGGTGGTCAGTTGTATGAAAGGTAATATAATATTATGAGGGCAATCTTGGAAATTACTTGTTATATCCCACAATATATTTTGTAAAACAAACATGCATAACATATATCCAATCTTATATATCAAGTCAACAAACATGACTTGGGGGATATACTATCCAATGTTTATATCCTATTCATTATATATCCTGACTAAATCCCACATCATATTATATCCTCCATTCTATATCCAACGAAACAAACGGGACCTAAAAGAAGAGCCCCCAAGTCTATAACCCTCTGAATCTAGCAAAAAAATTTATAGCTTGTGCACATCGGCTAGAACCAACAGACTAATCATTCACACAACTCATGAAATGCATATAGTAATAAAGGGAATGATACAAAACACAATGGTGGCTAATGGGGGTGGCTCATGGATAGTTGTGCAGCATTGGTGGTGGTGGTGGTGGTCAGTTGTATGAAAGGACTAGAACCTAGAACGCAGTGCGGGTGGTGGTCCTGGTGGGTACGGTTTGGTGTGCCCTAACCTGACCCTTCATACTTTCCAATGTTATTCATATTAATTAATTAAATTGAATTCAATTTTATTCACTATTTTTTAAAATAAATTAAAATAACCCTCTTCTTTACTAGTTCTTTTACTGAGTCAATTATTTTGAGCGGGATTCGTCGAGTTTTTTTTTTAATAAAAAATTATACATAAATTTATTTTCTAGATCTATTAATGTATAAAAGAAATTATTGACTAATAATTAGAGAATATATAAGAGAGACAAGTTATTTTAGCTATTTTAATACATTTTCACATTATTAGATTTGAAAAATGAGTCTAATTTTTAACTTAAGATAGTGATATATTTTTTAATCAAATAAATAATTTTAAAACAACTCATATTTGATAAATTGATTTAAAAATGTAATGAGTTTAGATGAATAACTTGAGGTGTATAATAAGATGAAGAATAATTTATTTGAAAAAGTCAATGAACACAAAAAAAAATAATCACGTATTATCATATATATATATATATGTAAAAATATTATGTCTAATTTTATAATTAATTTGTATTCATGTAAAAAAATTACATCTATCTAACAAAGTTAGAAATCTTACAAACCCAGACAAAATGAATCAGATTTTTACCGCAACATGATTGGATGGTAAAAATTAAAAGAGAAATGTTAGAGAACATGAAAATTTTGTCATGAAAATGATCATGAAAATTTTGTGACCCTTAGATTACCTTGATTAGTGTGTGGTGCTTTATTGTAAGTGTAATCTAAAGGTCACAAATTTTTCATGACGCGGTGCGAAATTATATATAGAAAAAATTTAAATTATAAATTATTAATTATTAACAAAAATTCTGAATTTATAGTATTATGAAAATAAAATTTATTTTTTCTAAGGCATGGTTTGGAAAGTGAATTGACTTTTTGATTTTTTTTTTACTATTTTAACTTAGGGTTAAAAAATCTGATTTAGAAAAAGTTTTTGATTTTTTTATGAAAGAAAGAATATAATGATTATAAGTTAAGTAAGACATTTTGTTTTATTAAAACTAAAAAATTTATTTTATTTTATTTTAATTTGACTATTTTAACCTCAAACCGAGCCAAACCCACTCGCCAAACCTAACGTAAAGTCAAGCTTCTCAAGCTCTGCCTACCCCCACACACTCTGATTATTCTCAGCTGAGACCCCACACCCCAGACTGAAGATATAACACAGAGCCCTGTTCCCTCATATCATATTCCTTTATTCTCAATTCCCATTTTCAGAGCGACTGTGTTGTTCATCTCCATCTCTCTCTCTCTCTCTCTCTCTCTCTCTCTCTCCTCTGTTGTTGTCTACTCTCTTTCTGTTCCATTTTCCTGATACTGTGACACAGGTAGGTGGGGCTGGTCACCATCCTTTTGTCAGATTTCTCTTTTTTCAGTCCCTCAGTGTTGACAAATAGGGCTGGAAGAGAAGAATAAAACAACCCACTATATACAAAGTGAACATACACACCCAAATAAATATTTATCTTTTCCTCTTGTTTCTCTCTCCTTATAGTTCATACATACCCATCTTTCAGGTGTTCCCTCTTCTCTTTCTTTGTTTCTGAGCTTTTCCCACATGAAGACAATCACAGCTAAGAGCCCTCATGACTCTTCCTTCTCATTCTCCAGGAGATACTTCCACTGGAAGAGGAAAGTTGAAGAAGACGAGGATAACGCGGAAGAAATTTTAACTTTCAGCTCCTCCTCACATGATTGCGAGGAGGAGCTGAAAGTTAACGGGTTAGACTTTTCGGTGCCATCACTGGCCGTTTCAGTGAAGGCACCAAAGAAGAAACTGTCAATTATGGCAGTTTCCAAGCTCCGATCGGCTCTTGCTCTTTTTAGCAGCAAGAGCCAATCAAATTTTCATTCGGGTCTTGGCACCCGAGTACTGGTGGGTACCTTATTTGGGTACAGGCGCGGGCACGTCCATTTCGCATTCCAAGAGGATCCCAAGTTGAGTCCGGCATTTCTGGTTGAGTTTGCAACTCCAACAAACATATTGGTTCGAGAAATGGCGTCAGGGTTGGTTCGGATCGCGTTGGAGTGTGACAAGAAAACAGAGAAGAAAGGTGTTAAGTTAGTGGAAGAGCCAATTTGGAGAACATACTGCAATGGCAAGAAATGCGGGTACGCGGTGAGGCGCGAATGTGGCCCTGAGGAGTGGAAGGTGTTGAGGGCGGTGGGACCGGTTACAACATATTGGTTCAAGAAATGGCGTCAGGGTTGGTTCGGATCGCGTTGGAGTGTGACAAGAAAACAGAGAAGAAAGGTGTTAAGTTAGTGGAAGAGCCAATTTGGAGAACATACTGCAATGGCAAGAAATGCGGGTACGCGGTGAGGCGTGAATGTGGGCCCGAGGAGTGGAAGGTGTTGAGGGCGGTGGGACCGGTTACCATGGGAGCGGGGGTGTTGCCGGAGAGTGGTGGCGGTGGGTCTGAGGGGGAGCTAATGTACATGAGAGCCAAATTTGAGAGAGTTGTAGGGTCTAAAGACTCTGAAGCTTTTTACATGATGAACCCTGATGGTCATGGTCATGGAGGTCCTGAACTTAGCATTTACTTGCTTAGAGTTTAATAGTATCAATCATCATCCAATTCCAATTCCTATTCCTTTTCCTATTCCTATTGGTACCTATTTTGTGCTGCAAGTTCTAATGTTTAGATTGTTAGTTTTTATTTTATTTTTTTGGAATGGGAATTGTGGGGTTTTAACTTTTGTGTTGGCTTTTTTCAATGTTTTGGGCTGTGGGTGGGGAGCAATATAGCATGATAATAGGGATGACTGGTGGGGTATATGTATGTGTATATAACAAGAGACAAATGTCCAGATCTTGTCCCTTGCATTTTGAAATTAAGATAAATTGTGTTTCAGTGAGAAAATTCAAAATAATTGTGTCTTTCATATAGGTGAAAGTTGTGGTATGTACACAATTCTCATTTGTACTTTTATGAAATACAATTATTTTTGAGTTGTTTTCACTTTAAAAAAAATGCTAATTTATTATTTTCGTGTTCGTTTGTTTGTTTTTATTATTTATTATATATATATACATATACATATTTAAAGATTGACTCAATCAATTTAAATGTTATTAACTGACAAAATCTTGAATCAGCATAATAGAAGGAAATGAATTGAATTGAATTGAAAATGCTGTAGATTTTCTTAAATACATCTTGCAGTAATACTCTAATCCTAATGAAGATTGGGTTTTTGGAGAAAATGGAAATTCAGAATAGGCTAGGAGGTATTTGATTGATCTCTTAATCTTAATTTCTCAAACTCAACCTCCCCTTATTTTTGTTGAGTTGATTGAGGAAAGAAAAAGGAAAAAAAAAGGAGAGAGAGTCTATAGACAAAGAATTAGGAAAATGAGTAGGAGCACTAATTAGTGCTCCCACTAATGATGTGACAGTAGATCTTACCATGAATGATTTGATGTTGTGGTCTTGGTGTTATATTTTTTTTTCTTTTTTTATTGAGTGTCATGTCATTAGTGGTCTTTTTAGAGCTCTAAAATTAGTGATCTCCATCATTGTTGAAAGAATTATTAAGAATGTGTCAACACAATAAACCTCAATACAAATGGGAAACTAGTGAATAAAAAATACATGAGTCACGGATTCCATATGGAATCCAGGAGGGCACTTACCCTTCTCTAAAAAATCGTATATACCCATCACATTTTTATAAGTCACAGGCTTCCTGTAGTCTCAGATCATACGGAAGTGTACTGTTGGATTCGTGGAGCCTTATCACTAGTTTCGTTTTGATAATCCGAACCGTTCAATGTGTAGAACTCGTCAAGTACTATATGCTTATAAACTGTTACGTTGATCGGATATCGATGGCTATGTGATCAAATTAGTTTTGTATATAAAAAAAATAGATGGTGAAAAAATAAACGGTTGACAAAAAAATGATCCGATGAGATAGCTATCGATATTCGACCAACGTGATTTTTTACAGACATATCGATGAGTTCTACGCATTGAACGGTTTGGATTATTGAAACGGGACCAATGGTGGATCCTTACAGACCCAACAACACCCTTCAGTCCGATCTAGGACTAAAGGAAAGCCAAACCCCTTTTTTATACTTTTTTCAAGAAAATCACTACAATTTGACACTTTAATGTTATACGACCCAACTGCTTCGATTTATTTTATTTTTTTTATAGTGCAATTTATGTGTTTTGAAATTCATCCGATTGAGGTGCTAAAAAAATTTAATTTTATTATGTTTGTTAATAAACTATACTTGTTGATAATAATATATATTCTTATTATTTTTGGTTGTTATATTTTTGTAAGGTAAGAACAATGACAAAAATAAGACAGTAGTACTACATATCCAAAATATTTACACATAAATTTATTTAAAAACTTAAATAAATGGATCCATAACACAACACATGTGCCATCTATCATCTTTTCAGATAAATTTCTGATTCATATATATTTTTTTTTTTTTGGAAGTTCAGAGCTTTACGTTAGAATGATGATGAGAAAAGGTTGTGCCGTGGATTTGTGGGTGTAAAAATCGTAAAACAACAATTGATTGTGAATCCAAGGATAAAAGTCATCCTAAATCATGCAAACACGCGTGGCTTTGTATTCTTTTAGAAACGTGAATTACAAGCTTGATGTTGACTTCCTAACAATGATTCTTATCAGAATCATATCATCATCTTCCATGATTGCATCTTCTCTTCTTGTAGCTTCAAGGTTTCTTGAGCAAGTTCTTCAAACAAAACCAAAAATACAAAAATGTTTATTGAGGCATAGAAAATTTGTACCTATAAATTTACAAATTAATTAGTGTGGACTACTATCATGCAAGAGTAAATTTGAATCATACAATTTCGGGATAAATTTTTTTATACCAAATTTGTGTCTCTAGCTTTACGTTGGTTTAATAGTCGTATAGCACAATAAGAGAACTACAACAAATTAAATTTTTGGCGATTAAATTTGTCAATTAAAAAAAAACTAGTCACCAAAAGTGTAACAATAGGCAACTAAAACAATGATTGATCGGCGTTAATTTAGGTTTTAGGCTACTAACTTTTTTTAGTCATGATATATGAATTTTTACTGACTAAAAAAAATTTAGTCACCAAAAATGTAAAATAAGCGACAAAAAAAAACTATTGGTTGGCGTTAGTTTAGGGTTTAGGCTACTAAAACCTTTTTTGCTCACAGTATATTAATTTTTTCCTACTAAATAATAATTTAGTCACCAAATATGTAATAACTCGAAAATTTAAGTTATTCCTTAAATTTTATACTAGTATTATAGTTGTATATGATAATATATTATTAAATAAATAATAATAAATACATAATCTAATTTGGCATTGGACTATCAAATATGAAATTAATTAGGGATTATTATTTGGGACCAAATTAACATAAATATGAAATTATAATACTAGTTTGATCAAATTAAAGTTAAAAATAGTAAATAAATAAATAGATAGATATAATAAATGTAAATAATAATAATAATAATAATAATGAGTGTGGTAGTAAAATAAATAATTAATTTTCTATTAGTATACGATAAAGTATAATTTAATTAAAAATTAATTTATTTATATAGTTATATTAGAAAAATTAATCAAAATGTAATTATCTTAAACATTTATTAAAGATAAGTATAAATCTATGAATTTATTATCAAATCTGTGGAATGATATGGGTCTAGCCACGTGTTGGTCAGAGAATGGTTTTACCTCCCTATTTAGGGAGGAGTTGATTCACCTGGAAAGAAAAAGAAAGGAAAAGAAGAGAGAAAGGAGGGAAAGAAAGGAAAATAAAATAATGGAAGTCGAAAGGGTCATTGGTAGTAGAAAGAAAGAGTAAGATATTATTTTTAAGGTGAGTTATATTATGTCTTGAGTCACCATAATATATTTTACGTATGTTTTGACTTACCATAATTTATTTTATACAAGTTGTATTTTATTAGTCATATTAATATAAGTTATATTTCATAAATATTTTAATTACGTGGATTATTTTCTGAACTCTATTTGTTTAAAATGAAACTAATGAATATGTTTGTTTATATTTTAAAGAATATTTAACTATAACCTTATAAATAATTATGTTTTGTAAGAACCACCACGGGAGTCCCATGCCTTGGATGACTTAAATAACTATCAGCTTCTTTTGGTCAATTTGTAACCCTCTGTCTATCATGGATCTATTGACCTATGTTTTGTATGGAGCAAAGTGTTGTACGGAACTAAGTGCTACACTGTTGTGGGAGTCACCTCTATAATCCGTACGAGCCACCTCTTGAATCCATACCTCTATTCTGACTATCACTCATGTGACCTCTGTTCTGTTCTGTTCGATACCGTGGTTATGGTTATTTATTTACATAATCTCAGTTTTACTACTTAAATGATTATTTGTTCAGACTAAGTTATCTTAAATATTTTAGTTACATAACTATTCATGGCTATTTTGTATCCCTTATACTCTTGGCATAATATTTCTCACTCTGCCATGTGCTTATAGCTGTTTACCAAATTTCAGGAAACAATGCAATTTAGAAATAGCTTTTGGAAAGTCTTAAACGCGGGGCTGCAGAATAGACACACACAGCACTTTTATAATATTTTTATATGTAAATATTGGCCTTTTTGATCGATAAATTTTGCAATAAAAATAGAAGCTCCGATGATTATTTTGGTACCCTCATTTAAATATTACTTCCGCTCATGTTTATTAATTTGTTCAAGAATTGGCCGGAGGTAACTTCAGTTACTGACCATCACGATACTTAAACCTTGGATACGGGGAGCGAGTCGTGACAAAATAATTAGCATAATTTGATGCATGGTCAAATTAATCTTTGGCGACCAAAAATTTGATCACTAAATATGTGTTTTTGGTTTAATTGGGAATGGTATTACACTTCTAGCGACCAAAATTTCTTTTTGTTGGCCTTAGTTCATGTTTTGGCTACTAAATAATATTAGTCGTTGTATATTAATATTTTTCGATTAAACCAGTTTAGTCGGCAAAAATAGTGACAAAGGAGCGACAGAAACACTGGCAAAAATAATTTAGTCGCCAAATGTGTATAAAGTTTTAGAGGAAAAAATTTTAGATTGGCACTCAAATTTTTGCCATTATTTTTTTAATTTTACTTTTGTCTATTAATTTGTTAGTGTTCACATTAGTTCTTTCTCTTGCTCTCTCTCATATAAAGAATTAGTCACCACCTGCAGTTCACCATTTCCTCGCCTCCCATTGACATTTGGGTTTTTCTTTCTCTTTCTCTCTCTCATTTTCTCTATTTCCCCATTCCATTCTAGTTCTAGGGCTTTATTCTTTTTGATGTTGTATGATTTTGATTTCTGTATTTCAAGTAAATGGTTTTTTTATTTTTGTTCTAAATTCAGGATTTTTTAAACTAATTATTGGTGTGATAGATGAGATTTAGTGATGTATCCGTCTGCCACCACTAAACCACCTCTCACCATGCCACGTCCACTACCGTATCCCTCCTCCAACCTGCCACATCCAAAATGTTGGGTATATCTCCTTATTATAGTATGAGACCCAATTGGTTTATTAAAATATTTAGTTTGGTTTGGTATTGGTTATAATATATTTTTAATATATTATATCTAACTTTTGGAAGCCAAATGGGTATTCAATATTTAGTTTGGTAGCAGCAAAGGTTTTGATATAAAGCCTAAGAATCAACAATATATAGAGATATATTGTTTTGTTCTTCTAGATTTCTACGGTAGCTAGAAGATTGGTTCTTTTTCGGTGGGCGTGGTTTGTTTGCAAAGGCTTGGAAGTTTTGTCTATGTGCAGATTTTCGACAGGTTTGGTGGAATTGATTTGGGTTATTATTTTAAGTCTTCTTCAACTTTGTTTCGAAGACTTTTGTTCGTCTATTTATTGAGGCTTTTTCCTCTTGTTTATTTGTGATTATTTGGAATTCCTATAAG